CATAATAGCATTACTTATAGTACCCTGTTTCCCCGAAAATAAGACAGTGTCTTATATTAATTTTTTCTCCAAAAGTTGCGCTAGGTCTTATTTTTAGGGGATGTCATATCTTTCCATGTGCGAGGTCTTATTTTTGGAGGATGTCTTATTTTCAGGGAAACACAGGTAGCAAGAGAGTTGTGGTATATTAAGTTGTGGTATATTCATAAAGTGAAATACTGTGTACACATTTAAAAAAATAATTACAAAGCTCTTCATGCAAAAATATGACATGATCTCCAAAATATGTCAGGTACAAAAAGCAAGTGCAAAACTGTGTATAAGCTGCTATTTATGTAAAAACAAAAGGATAGCCGAAACCGGTTTGTCTCAGTGGACAGAACGTCAGCCTGCGGACTGAAGGGTCCTGGGTTTGATTCCGGTCAAGGGCATGTACCTTGGTTGTGGGCATATCCCCAGTGGAGAGTGTGCAAAAAGCAGCTGATTGATGTTTTTCTCTCATCGATGTTTCTAACTCTCTATCTCTCTCCCTTCCTCTCTGTAAAAAATCAATAAAATATATATTTTAAAAAAGGATAATGTAGGAGGAGAATAAATATATATATCTGCATATGTATACATAAACTATTTTTGTAAAGACACCAGGAAACTAGTTATACTGAAGAGAAGAGGGAAGAGGCACTGTATATCCTTCTATAGCTTTTAAATTTTAAGCCATGTAAATGTATTACCTTTTTAAAAATAGCAAAAACAAATAAAATTAAAACAAATAAATAACCAGTGGCTAATCCAGATTGTAATTTTTTGCAAATAGTGATAACCTTCAAAATTATTTTTAAAGAATGTTGTTGAAAATTTTGTTTTGTTAATGTTTTACTGATACTAGCTAGACTTTGTATCAGTGTGATCTTATGAGTGATGTGCATTTTTCCTTCATTATAGAAATAACTAGAGTCCTTGTGCACGGATTCATGCACTGATGGGTTCCCTCAGCCTGGCCTGTGAGGCAGTCCAACATCTTCCAAGAGGTCCAGGATTGCGAGGGGGTGCATGAATCTGTGCACCAGGCCTCTAGTATGCATATAAGATCTTTGGTTAATCTCTTCCTGCCCTCCCCTTTCCCTCTGTTCCACGTATCCATGCCTGTGGTTTCTGCTCCTGTGTTGAGCATCTGCCCCCTGGTGGTCAGTGCACATCATAGCTACTGGCCAGTCAGCTGGTCACTTAGGCTTGTATATATATAGATTGTTTTATGGGATGGATCTTAACATTTGTCATGAAAATGAAGTCCTTGAATAAGCAAATTTAACATTTGGGAATTATATATTTGACCCGTTAGAGTCTCCCATTAAATATTTAATTAAAAAATAATGTTAAGAGCATGAACAGGTTTGTGTTTCAGTTCTGCCACTTAGTAGCTTGCAACTTTGGGCAAATAAGCCAAGTTCTTCAGCTTTTTAATGAAGATAATACTTGTACCTACTTCATAAGCTTTCTGTGAGGATTAAGTAAGGTAACTTTATTGGTTAACTTCCATAGTACCTACTGTGTGCCAAACATTATTCAAAGCATTTTACATATATGAATTCTTTTAATTTCATAGCAACCTTATAATATATGTAGGTATTATAATTATGCCCATTTTATGCTTGAGGAAATCAAGGCTAAAAGTGTGCAGAGCCAAGGTTCAAATTCAGGCACTCAGGTTCCAGACTCCATTCATTGACCATGATGCTGTGACCACTTAGCTCTCTGTGGCATATTCACATTGTGAAACTTCAACAAATTTCAATAATAAATGTAATATAATAATCAGTGTTACCATACAGAGATTACATATCCTTCTAGAAAATACCCGCAAACTAAGTAAAAAAAAATAAAAAAATAGCTGTCTTCAACTTAACCATCAGAAAATAAAAATGTTGGTATTTATATACCTGCTAGAGGCCTGGTGCATGAAATTTGTGTACAGGTAGGGTCCCTAGGCCTGGCCGGTGATCAGGGCCAATTGGGGCCTTCTGGCTGCTGGTCATGGCCTGCTTTCACTCCACACCAACCCCTGATGGTCAGCGCACATCATAGCGATTCGTCTCCTAGTTGAACTCCCGTGGAGACACTTTGCATATTAGCCTTTTATATATATATATATATATATATATATATATATATATATATCTTAATATACTTCAAGAAAGTAAAAATGGTAACATTTTATAACCTATTCTGTTCATGTGTCAATATAACATCAACTTTTTAAAAATATATTTTATTGATTTAAAAAAAATATATATATATATATATATATATTATTGATTTTTTTACAGAGAGGAAGGTAGAGGGATAGAGAGTTAGATACATTGATGAGAGAGAATCATCGACCAGCTGCCTCCTGCACACCCTGCACTGGGAATGTGCCCGCAACTAAAGTACATGCCCTTGACCGGCATCGAACATGGGACCTTTCAGTCCGCAGACCGACGCTCTATCCACTGAGCCAAACCAATTTTGGCATATTTTATTGATTTTTTACAGAGAGGAAGGGAGAGAGATAGAGAGTTAGAAACATCAATGAGAGTCATGGATCAGCTGCCTCTTGCACGCCCCCTACTGGGAATGTGCCTGCAACCAAGGTATATGCCCCTGACCAGAATCGAACCCGGGACCCTTCAGTCCGAGGCCTACGCTCTATCCACTGAGCCAAACCGGTTTCAGCTAACATCAATTTCTTATTGCTTAATTTGATTTGATACCTCCTGTATCATCCTATATAATAAGAGAGGGATATGCTAATTATTCATTACACCATGAGGCGTAATGCTCGGCCATGTAACGATGGGATCACGGATCTGCAGGAGAGTAGGGCAGCGAACTACAAGCAGGTGGCAGAGAGCTGCAGGAGGAGCAGGGCAGCAAGCAATAAGAAGGGGTGGGTGGGAGGAGCTACAGGAGGCTGGCAGTGGGCGGAGAACCACAGGAGGTTGGCAGAGAGCTACTGGTGCATGGATTTGTGCATACGGCTACTAGTACTAGTATAAAATGGGTTAAGACACTTTTTCTTGCCTTCACTCTAGATATGGCATTTTTTTGAAAGTGGGCTAAGGAATTCTTTTGAATCGTTCCTAAGGTCAAAGTCATTTTATTGATGTAAAAATGGTGGTGTGGATCATGAATTAATAAGTAATTTAAATCCCTGCCTATATGTAAACTTGGGACTCTTACAAAGGAATTTCTTATTGATGTTGGCAACAGAAAACTCTGGCTGCTGGGATTTTCAGGAGAAAAAGTCAATCACTCACCACAGATAAATGGGGTGTGTGTGTTTTTTGTTTGGTTGCTTTTTTTCCAACGGACTTTATGGCCTATTCTGGGTATACGTTTTGAAATACCAAAATTTATAGTTTACAAATATAAAGCAGGATATAAGGATGTAATTGTAAGGAGATACAAAGAAGCATAAGGCATGGCTCTTGTCAATTTGGATGCCATAATAGAATCAGCATATGTTGTGATATAGATGATCTTAACTGTTGTCATGGTAATACAGAATGCTATGCAAGTTTTTAAACTTATAGTCCTCACACCCTGATCACCCTGTATCAGCATTTAAAAAAAAATTCATATTCACGGATGGAAAGCCTTATAACCTCAAAGTGGCCCCCTGGTTACACATTCCTTTTAAGAATCTCTCTCCAGTTATTCCTCCACCCATGTATAGCACTGGCCCAAATCTGGACCCATTACCCTTCATTTTTCCCCCCAAAGCCTTGCCAAAACTAGGCTCTGATTACTTAAATATGTCTTTTCTAAAAGCTTGGCAATTCCAAGAAGAAAATGAACAGAAATAATTACCAACTAGGTAATCTGAATCACTTGCTATAGCTTTATTTTCTTGGCCCTGAAGGCTCTGTCTCATTTTCACAGAATCTTGGAAGAATATAAGGAGTTCATAGTTCTGGAGGGCTGCTGTTTATGACTTCTGGCTTTCTCTATCAATGCGCATCTCCAATCACAGCTTGACCTTTTGAAATCCAAGGCCATGGAAGAAGAAAACATTCTTTTTTTAAACTAAAGGAATTTTTCAGCTATCACTTAACGAGCTATTCTTTCTCTATGACTGTGGAGACCTTACTGGAGATATTTCCTTAACATAACAACCACATCAAAATATAATTCAGTAAGATGAACATTTTTGCCTAAAATAGAATCAGGGCATAATTTGCTTAAAGGCCTTAAAAGTCATGAACAAAAAGATGGTTGACATTTTAGTGATGACTTTGAAAACTCCTGCTTCCATTTATATATGTTTAGCATCCCAGGGAGTCTCTTTAGAACTGCAAAATATTCATGTTCATAAAATTACCACAGACCTTACTTGCTCTCCATCTACTTAGAAGGAGACTATCCAGGAAGGGCAGCACCCGGCACCCCTTTTCACTGGCATTGTCCTCAGAGGAGCACATACACCAGAGATTTGCTGCCTCACCTCCCTTCCATTCATCCCCTCCAAGTCACAGTTTAAGTACAAGGAAACAGTATCCACATAGGGCACATTAGGGAGCCACTCTGGCTTAGAATCCCCGTGCATCCCAAGCAACAATATCTCTTGTAAAACTTTCTTGGCATAGCTTCCAATGTCCCGCAAAGGACATGCCTTATGAGTCACTGCACTCAGAGAAGCCCTGAACTACAGCTCCCTGCCAGGTAATTGTGCAACTTGGACCGTAAGCGACATTGCCTAATCACATAGTTGATATTCACCTGATATTCACCAGAGCTAGAAAGTTAATCCAAGGCCACCCTGTCTTTAGAGGAGAAAGAGTTTGTTTGCTCTCTATCCACAACTTTTCAAACATATCTTTATAAAGATGATTGTGTTTTTCAGTTTGCCTGAGATAAATGGCTTTGAAGTAACTTCACAAATCTTCTTCTGACCTATATCCTGTTTGATAGATGATAAATTTTAGCTTTTCTTCCTCTGACTGTTTTTCCTTTTTTGATAGGTCTAATCAAATATTCTGAACACGTGTACGATGCATGTATGGATACATTTGACTGTCTCCCTCTCGCGGCCCTCTTAAATCAGCAGTTTCTGTGTGTACATGGTGGGATGTCACCTGAAATTACTAGTTTAGATGACATTACTAAAGTAAGTAATCTTTCATTATTCTCATGGGTCATATATATTTTTTTCAATCTTGATTTTTTTATTGCAGTCAATTAATATGTTTTTATTGCTTAATATTTTAAAATACAAATAATCAGAAGTAACAAATGTAAATCACCCGTGATTTAATTATTGAGAGAGAATTCTGGTTGACATTTTGCTGTATATCTTCCAGAAATTTTCTCTAATTTTCAATTAAATTTGTGCTCTTACCACTAAAAACATAATTTCTTAGTATATTCCTGAAACTTCAAATTTTGTAGCTGTGCATAAGGAAGGGAACCAGGTTTCTAATCCTTATCCTGCCATTTTTCCTGTAAGCTTGACCAAATTACTCAACCTCAGTCAGTTTCTTCTCAGAAATGAAATCAAAATGGATGGTCTGAAGACTTCCAGCTCTGAAATTCATGGATTGACATTTTAGATGAAGAATTTAAGTGTTACACTTCCTGATTTGTGATTATTTCCAGAATTCTGTATCTTTATAACTGAAAAAAGATGACCAGTCTTTTCTCACTTATATTGTTCTACATTACCATCATCTCTCCTCTACCTTTTTATATTTCATCTCTCATATAAGTACTAAAATTAAAGATGTTTCTGTTTATAAAACTGGTTACCTTCCTCAGGGCAAGAGACGTGTCTACATGCACTACCATTTTTTTTTCTACTTTATTATCTTAAATAACCAGCATTTTATAATTCTGAATTGATTGTATTAATCAATTGCACTTAGTAAAAATTCTGTTCTTGGCACTCAGCTATTCTAGTTATTTCTTTTTGTTTTTGTTTTTGTTTTTATTCTTTTAACAACAGCAGCAATGAATAAAGGCATAAGTTAAATAATCTATATTGAAATGTCTCCATTGCATAGGATGAAAACCCTTTGCAAAATAAAACTAGCATGCTTTAAAATAAAGAAATCTCCATTGGAATGAGATAAACAATGAATAGAATCATTGTAAAACCCTTCCTGCTCTCATGGTAACATTGGCTCATCTAGGCAATTGACATGAACTTCTCACAGTCTTTCTAAATAATAGTATATCTCTATCGTGGTTTGATTTTGCTTTCCAATTAAATAAGTGCATACTACTTGGAAGATTAGCATGTAAGTGGTTCTTTTGTACAGAATGGTTAGATAACATATATTTATTTAAAAAATAAAGAGTGGGCCCTAGCCGGTTGGGCTTAGAGGATAGACTGTCAGCCTGCAGACTGAAGGGTCCTGGGTTTGATTCCATTCAAGAGCACTTGCCTGGGTTGCAGGCTTGGTCCCTAGTAGGAGGCATGCAGGAAGCAGCCAGTCAATGATTCTCATCATTGATGTTTCTCTCTCTCTCCCTCTCCCTTCCTCTCTGAAATCAATAAAAATCTATCTAAAAAAAAATATACAGGGTGGGTAAAAGTAGGTTTATAGGGGATAGGTAAGTACCTTACTCACCTCCTTCCACAACCACATTAACTTAAGCTAGTGTCTATCAATAGATGAATGGATAAAGAAGTGGTACATATATACAATGAAATATTACTCTGGCGCAAAGAATGAAATCTTGTGCCCACCAGCTGGTATGGCTTAGTGGTTGAGCATTGACCCATGAACCTAAAAGGTCACCAGTTTGATTCCTGGTTGGGGCACAAGCCTAGTTTGCAGGCTTAAACCCCAGTAGGAGGTGTGCAGGAGGCAGCCCATCAATGACATTTCTCCTTTATCGATATTTCTCTCTATCCCTTTCTCTCTCAAAAAAAATCAATAAAAAGATTGAAAAATGAATTAAAAAAATGAAATCTTGCCATCTGCAACAACATAAAATACCTACAGAGTATTATGCTAAGTGAAAATAAGTCACACAGAGAAAGGGCAAATATTTCACTTATATGTGGAATCTGAAAAAACTCATATGAATAAACAAAACAGAAACAAACTCATAGATACAGAGAAATGTTGATGATCACTAAATGAAGGGAAAGATTTGGGACATGTGGAAAAGGGGAAGGGATTAAGAGGTACAAATTGGTTGTTGCAAAATAGTCATAGGGATATAAAGTACAGTATAAATCAATAATGTATAACTAAATATGGTGTCAGATAGATATTAGATTTATTGGAATGATTACTTTGTAAATTATATAAATGTCTAACTACTGTGTTACATACCTGAAACTAATATAATATTGTATGCCAGCTATAATTGAATAATAAATTATTTTAAAAATGAAGCAATGAACAAAATTAAAAAGTAGGTTTATAGTTGTAAATACATGAAATAATTTATTCTTGTATTATTATTTATTAATTATTGTATCATTTTTTCATACAAACCTACTTTTGCCTGATCCTGTATATAAAAAATGATAGAAATTGTGTATCAAAAATTTTTAAATGGTCGTTTTCTTGCAGGAAAATTCTTTAGGGACTTGTTGCCTTCTCTCTCCTAATACCGTAATTTCTGGCGTATAAGACGACTTTTGAAACGAAAAAAAGCCTACTCAGATTGGCCAGAGTCAGAGAGGCGGTCTATTAAAAAAAGAACTGGTGTTGCCTCGGAAGTGGGGGGGTAGTCTTATACAGTGAATATAGACCTAAACCTATGTTTTTTGTTTTTTGGGTTTTTTAAAAATAAATTTTATTGATTTTTTTTTTTTTTTTAACAGAGAGAAAGGGAAAGAGAGAGAGAGCTAGAAATGTCTATGAGAGAGAAACATTGATCAACTGCCTCCTGCACACCCCCCACTGGGGATGTGCCCGCAACCAAGGTACATGCCCTTGACCGGAATCGAACCCGGGACCTTTCAGTCCACAGATCGACGCTCTACCGCTGAGCCAAACCGGCTTCGGCCCTATGTTTTAACTGTAAAATTAGGGGGGTCGTCTTATACGCTGGAAAATACGGTACATTCTTATAAATGAAAGGATTTTTGTGTGGGGTTTTTTTGTTTGTTTTTTTACCCATACCATTTTCAAAAGCTCTTTTGCTTTCATGATTTTTCTTCTTTTGGCTTTTGCTTATCTTCCAGATAGACAGGTTTAAAGAACCTCCAGCCTTTGGGGCAGTGTGTGACCTGCTTTGGTCTGATCCCATAGAGGAGTATGGCAACGAAAAGACTTTGGAGCACTATTCCCACAACACTGTCCGGGGCTGCTCTTATTTTTACAGGTAAGCTGATCCTCAGAGTTACCAAGTTGGGAAAGGAAATGGCAATATGCTTAATCAAATTATTTTAAGTATTTTATATATTGAATTTATGTAGCATGGGGACTTGTTTAATTTTTTTTTATTAATAGAAGACAGAAGATTCTTATTTGTTTCTTTTTTTGGTTTACAGTTAGTAGGTTTTATGCCCTGATAAGTGTAATATACCAAACCTGATTGGACAGTACTTTAATGTTGTTTTACTCTAAATGATCTAGATAATTTGTTGCCAAACATTATAAACTTTTTAAAAAATGAAGACTCCTTGGCTCTTCCCCCAGACATTTTGGTTCAGGAGTCCTCTTATTATTTTGAAAAGCTCTCCAGCTTTTGGAACTACTGGTATAGGCAAAGATATAAAAAGAACAGAACATTGTGAACTCAGGACATTCCTGGAAGTTGGCTGTTGTCTTAAATCTCATATGTAAGCTTTCATTGTGCTTTGCCACTCAAAAATAGGGAGATATAGTCCTTGCTGGTTTGGCTCAGTGGATAGAGTGTTGGCCTGCTAACTGAAGAGTTGTGGGTTCGATTCCAAGGGCATGTACCTAGTTGCAGGCTCAATCATGGGTTGGGGTGCAACCAATCGATGTGTCACTATCACATCGATGCTTCTCTCTTTCCTCCCCTCCATTCCACTCTCTCTATAAAAAAATCAATGGAAAAATATTCTCACCTGAGGATCAACAAAAAATAAAAATAAACAAATGAAATAAAATAATAGGGAAATATAGGAAAATTTGAAGTCTAAATTTAAAATATATATATACACACAGACACACACACACATACACACACGCACACACATACACACACACACATATATACATATATATTGATTTCAGAGAGGAAAGGAGAGGAAGAGAAAGACAGAAACATCAATGATGAGAGAAAATCATTGGTCAGTTGCCTCCTGCACTGACCGCACCAGGGATCAAGCCCACAACCCAGGCCTGTGCCCTGACTGGGAATGAAAAGGTGACCCCCTGATTCATAGGTCAGTGCTCAACCACTGAGCCACAATAGCTGGTCTGAAGTCTAAAATTTTTTATCCCAATATTTTATAATTATAATATATTATTATAAATTATAATATATTCCCCTAAAAATCTGTTAATTGCCTAAGATGATACACTAATTAAATGGAATCTACATACAAAAAGTAAGAAGCCATGCCCTAGCTGGTTTGGCTCAGTGGATAGAGCGTCGGCCTGCAGACTGAAGGATCAATCCCAGGTTCCATTCTGGTCAAGGCACATGGTCAGGTGGCATGCAGGAGGCAGCTGATCAGTGATTCCCTCTCATCATTGATGTTTCTATCTCTCTCTCCCTCTCCCTTCCTCTCTGAAATCAATAAAAATATTTTTTTAAAAGGAAGCCTCACTTTTACCATAGTTTTAACATTCTTAAAGCAACTTTTTTTTCATTCTTTCCTGCCAACTCTACCAGTGACTAATACGAAATCATTTAAATGTTACTTTTCTTTACATTGCTTAAAATACTTCTTTATTATTAGCACATAGAAATCACTACAGTTTCTATGGAGGTCAACTTGACAATATCTCTCAATTATAAATGCCCATGGCCTTTGATCCAAAAGTTTTACTTCTAAATCATAATCCTGTGGGTGTACTAGTATAATTGATCTTTATTATTCACAAATTCTAACTTGTAAATTTTTCTACTTGTTAAGATTTACTTGTAACCCCAAAATCAATACTCATAGCACTTTCACAGTCATTCACAGACATGGGTGCTTGCAGAGTGACGAAAAATCTGTCACCCCACATGTGCTCCCAGCTGAGGTTAGAATTATTAGGAGTTGCTCTGCCTTCTGTTTCAGTTCTCATAACTGTAAGCAGGTATTCTGTTTGTGGACTATTTAACATTTTTCACGGTTTTGGTTAGTTAATTTGCTGTTTAAAAACAGCTCCAAGCACAGTGCCAAAATGCTGTCTAGTGTTGCTAAGTGCCAGAGTCTGTGATGTGCCTTACAGAGAAAAGACCTGTGTGGTCTAAGCTTGGTTCAGGCATGAATTATGGTGTTGGCTGTAAGTTCCACGTTTATGAATCAACAATATATATTAAATAAAGCTTCTTTACTCAGAAACACACATAAAACAGAGTTATTGATCAGTTGATGAAAATGTTAGGAGCAAAGGCTCACAGGACTCTGATTCTGTATTTTCCTTGGGCGCAGTATTGACCAATTTAGTTTTTGCAGACAATGGAATGTACCAGACAGTACAGTGAGGCTGTTTTTTAAAAATGAAAAAAAAGGCCCTGGCCGGTTTGCCTCAGTGGATGGAGTATTGACCTGTGGACTGAGGGAGTCCTGGGTTTGATTTTGGTCAAAGGCATATGTCTGGATTGTAGGCTCAATCCCCAGTGGGGTCATGCAGGAGGCAGCCAATCAGTGATCAGTAATTCTCTCTCATTGTTGATTTTTCTTTTCTTTTTTCTTTTTGTTTATCATTGATGTTTCTATCTCTCCCTCTCCCTTCCTCTCTGAAATCAATAAAAATAAATTAAAAAATAAAGAAAATAACCCTTTGCCCCGAAGCTGGTTTGGCTCAGTGGTAAAGCGTCGGTCTGCGGACTGAAAGGTCCCAGGTTCGATTCTGGTCAAGGGCATGTACATTGGCTGCGGGCACATCCCCGGTGGGGGGTGTGCAAGAGGCGGCTGGTCGATGTTTCTCTCTCATCGACGTTTCTAACTCTCTCCCTCTCCTTCCTCTCTGTAAAAAATCAATAAAATATATATTAAAAAAAAAAAAAAAGAAAATAACCCTTTGTAAACTGGTACGGAATAATCACTAAAGTAAAAAGAGATACATGCAGAGCTCTAATTTTTCTAGAAGTCGGGATGATGTGCATATTCATGTGTGTGGGGTAGTTGTTTGAAGTTGTATAGAGTGTCTGTGAAAGTGCACCCAGGGAAGCCAGGGCATGGGCTGCTTCTCTCTTCCAGGGCAGCTGAAAAGGAAGTAGAGAGGAGATACCATTCCCTTTTGTATCTTTCAATTTTATGCCGTGTGAATGTACAACTTCTTTTAAAAGTTATTTTTTTCTAATGTTCACAATAAGAAAACAAAGATTTAAACATAAACTAAGTAACAGTTGGGTTATTCCAGGATAGTTTTGAATTCTTTAGTTCTTCTTGTCAGGTATTTGTCATTGAGAATGACAAATATTCTTTAATTAGAATAAGATTGAATGTAATATTTGCTTTTATGTCTAAAATATTACTGCATTATATTATCTTTTAAAATATATATTTTTAATTGATTTTTTTACAGAGAGGAAGGGAGAGAGATAGAAAGCTAGAAACATCAATCAGCTGCCTCCTTCACACCCCGACTGGGGATGTGCCCGTAACCAAGGTACATACATGCCTTTGACCGGAATCGAATCTGGGACCCTTCAGTCCATAGGCCAACACTCTATACACTGAGCCAAACCGGTTTTGGCTGCATTATATTATCTTAGTATTGATATTACCTGTGAAGCTATAAGTAGGTTCTTTAACTTTTCTAAGTTTGACAATTTGAAAGTTGCATGTTTAGTTTTTAGCACCTACAAATACACACACACACACACACACACACACACACGTACACACACACAAAACCATGCTACTTTTTAACATATCAAATAGCAAGAAAAGTTTTGGTATGATGTTGTTATGGGGTAAGACAAAAATTAACAGAGGGGAGCTGTTTCTGACTAGGGTTGTCTATTACTGTATCTTCATATTTGATCTAGAATGAGGTATATTAGTGAAATAGAAAAACATAATTGTGATTGCTAAGCTATTAATAAAAGTTCAGTGATATGTAAGAGCTTAATTTCAAAATAAATTCAATTCGTATCATTCTAAATTATTCCCTTCCTATTAAAAATCAGTTGTTTTAATTCTGGATTTATGTTTTCTAATTTTCTTTTTCAGTTACCCTGCAGTTTGTGACTTTTTGCGGAATAATAATTTGTTATCAATAATCAGAGCCCATGAAGCCCAAGATGCTGGGTAGGTTATATTAAAACTGTGCCAAATATCACTGCAGAGTTTTTGCCTTTAATATCAGGACAGATGGGCTGTCATCTCTCTTCCAGGTATCGAATGTACAGGAAGAGCCAAACAACAGGCTTTCCATCACTCATTACAATTTTCTCTGCCCCCAATTACCTAGATGTCTATAACAATAAAGGTAAAGGAGTCCAGCGATATTTGAGTTTGAATTTGTGAGTAAATGTGAGCTCTATTTTAACATATATGTGTATGCATATTTTTAATATATATATAAATTTTAAATAAGGGAAAAGGTTTTAACTGAAATAAAGGCAAGAAACTTAGAATTTAGGCTCTTGCTTGGTTTCCATCTACTAAAACCAAGCAAAAGCCTAATTTCTGATTTCTTGGTCTTTATTTGAGGTGTTTGTGAGTATAAATAATGATCCTAACAGATGTAATTTGTACTACTGAATCAAAATATAAGGATAAATTATTTCAGGTCCTGTTTAGAACTATCAGCATTAACTATTGGTTTCAGTGAATTTAATATATTTATAACATTATCTCAAAATACCACCATTTGGTGTTTTGATGTTTATGCATTTGCTCTAGTTGAAGAAAGGTATAGGTGGAATGAATACTATACCAAAGTGAAAAAAATCTTAACTTTAGTCCAAGCCCTTCCAGAAACTAATATAATAGTGCCACTTTAGGTAAATCACATAATCTCTCTAAACTTCAATTTCCCATATAGAAAAAGAGGATTAGCTATCCAGACACCTTTCAGCACAGAAACTCTACTTCTAAGACTTTATCCTTTTAAAGTCTTTTTTATTTAAATTTATTTTTATAAATCAATAAATACAATAAATTTAATTTATTTTATTTATTTTTATGAGTCATAATTCCTAAGTTTTGTATCAGGGCTGTGGTTCACCTAAAAACTTCATGCCTCTGTAACTATTTTGTTGTTTAAAAAGTATGACTATAAAATAATAGAACTTTTAAATGAACATACCAGAACGTATATATTCAAGTGAGGATTGTCCCTTGAAAGTAGTTGCCTCAGGAGGCTATACACTTATTCCAACAATGCTGCCAATGTTCAAACATTTTTGGAACTCCTCTTTTGGCATTACCTTCAGCGTCTGCGACACATTCTTTTGATAATATCCACAGTGATGGGAAATCTTCGTCCTTTGAGGGTGGATTTGATTTTTGGAACAGCCAAAAGTCATTCGGAGTGCAGACTGATGAGTAAGGTGAGTGTTCAAGCTAGTCGATACCATTTGGGCTCAGAAACAAGGTATGATTATAAGGTAATGAGACTGGTTTTCTTTGTGTTGCTTATAAAATGGCTCTGGAGGCAATTCCAAAAGAGGAGTTCCAAAAACATTTTGAGTAATGGCAGCATCTTTGAATTAAAAATACCGTAAGGCAGCAAGGTGCATTGAAAGAGACACTAAGCTAGAAGTCAGAAGTTCATTTTAAATTCACAGTTAACAAGATAACTTCACTTTGCATTTAAGTTTACTTCACACTGAACAGCACTTCCCTGAGCCTCACTTTATCTTTAAAATACCTGTCATAATAGGATTGTTGGAGATAGGTTGGAATAATAAAAATGAAATTAAAATCATCAATCAAACTGTAAACTGCTATAATACTATAGCATTTTACTGTTATTGTGCCTGGTGTGATTACATTAAAGAACCACACTCGTCTCATTGATATATAAGGTCTGTGTGTTTGTAGTCAGTGGTTTCTTAAGTCTCATTACTTTATAGTCATACCTTGTATATGCAGTTGGGGAGAGAACTTTAAAGAGGTCCACAATATATTTACCATTTACTCTGTTTAAAAATAAACTATGAAATGGCACATCTCATTGAAATTGGATTTGGATCAATCATCTCAGTATATTCTTCAATGACTTCTGTCCATTTTTAAAAAGCAATTTTTTAGGCTTAAGTTCTTTCCCAGCCTTATATTTTATTTTTACTTCTTATCATCCTTTTCTGGGTTTTAGCTGTCCTACTGTGTTCTGCTTCTCCCTAATTCCATTTTTAATCCCCCCCCCCCCAATAATTTCAACGTTTAACAGTTTGGTTTTGTTCTTGTCTCTTCCCTTATGAATGGTATGCACTGCTTGTGTTGTTAAACTTCTTCAAGGATACTTAGTGGTTCCAGTCTTCATATTTGTGAAGATTTTACCTTCTTGCTCCTTTTTTTTTTTAACCTTACTATTAAGAACATTGATTACCCAGTGTATTTGTTATGGGTTAAGCTGAAACATTGCTACCTAAAGCAGCAGTCACTACTAACTGCCAGCTCACTTTTTGCTCCATTCTAATCTTGTTTTGTTCTTGGTTATTACTTTAGTAAACTTTTAAAGTCACAGTTCATTTTACCTGAGTTTTCTGCTCACTTTGATATAATCGGTAATCTTATCTTGAAACAATCTTATTCCCCTTAGTTGTTTCTTAAGCATTTTGGGGGGGAAAGGCAGGAAATGTGGCACCTGAAATAACCTGTGGTGACACTCACTTACTCCCCCTACAAGTGCTTCTTTTCTTGAAAAAGGCAACTTCTCTTTCTTCTACATTAGCATTTCTTTCTTGAATATTCTTTAGACTTATTGGTATCCACAGGTATTTCTTAGCTCCACTGATTATATGAAAGACCCTTAAGTCATAATTTTTAAAGATTTCTATTCCAATTTTTTGTGTCCATTGGAAAGATATCCTAAGTCAGTCTAATTTTAATCATCCACTGTTGAGACCTACCCCCCACTCCTTTTCCTGTGTAGATTGAGGCAATTGTTGAATAATTGTATATTCATCTAATCTAAATAAAATACATATACATGAAAATAATGGAACATGTACATTGTAGTCAGTGTTAGGTTTTTAAGAGCTAGAGATTCTATGTTCATGTATTTTTCTTTATAATCTATGGTGTACATTTTAGACATTCAATAACTTAAATTATATCCTATATAAAAAGAAGGTAATATGCAAATTGATGATCATGCCCTTACACAGGATGTCCATCCCCATGTGGTCATTTGATGGCCACACCCAAGATGGCCGGCAGGGGAGGGCAGTTGAGGGGGACCAGGCTGGCAGGGGAGGGCAGTTGGGGGCAATTGGGCCGGCAGGGGAACAGTTAGGCGTTGATCAGGCTGTCAAGGAAGTGGTTAGGAGGTGATCAGGCTGGCAGGCAGAAGCGGTTACAGGCCATCAGGCAGGCAGGTAGGTGAGCAGTTTGGAGCCAGCAATCCCGGATTGTTAGAGGGATGTCCAACTACCGGTTTAGGCCCATATCTGTGGGCCTAAACCAGCAGTTGAACATCCCTCGAGGGGTCCCATATTGGAGAGGGTGCAGGCTGGGCTGAAGGACACCCCCCATTGCTCAGTGCATGAGTTTCTATAATAAGCAAAGAAACAGAAACCAGGAGATGACATATATCTATCATTTCTAGAGAGCTGTTATACCCTATTCTATTTATGATCACAGTAAGAATAATATAAACAACATTGCATTGCTGATGATTAAGATGAAGAAATTGGATATTAAAACTTTTCAAATATAAAAAAAATTAGTTTGATACCAAAGTATATGTACAAATTTATGGGCTGGTTAATATTAAACACAGATATACTGACTGTATATTGGAAAGATGGGCATTTTTTATCCACTATATTGCATGTAGAGAATGTTGAATCTACTTTTGAACCTTATAAATTAATCCAAGTTTATGATCTGTAGATAACTGCTATGTTTATAAACTCCCAGAGAATTTATAAATCTTTGGCTCTGGCAATCAAAACAGGTTGTGTCCATTTAGTGAGAACTGTTTGCCCTCAAAGGAGAGTTGCATTTGTAACTACTTTGCATATCTATATAAATATGCAAATAAAATGGTAATATGTTAATTAGACCGGATAGACCAGACATCTTTCGGATGTCCTTTCGGACAAAGCCACAGTGGTGGGGGCAGAGGCAGAGGCAGTTAGGGGCGATCAGGCAGGCAGGCGAGAGTGGTTAGGGATGATCAGGCAGGTGAGTGGTTAGGAGCCAGTGGTCCTGGATTGTGAGAGAGATGTCCAGCAGTCAGACATCCCCCAAGAGGTCCTGGAATGGAGAGGATGCAGGCCAGGCTGAGGGAGCTCCCCCTGCCCCGTGCATGAATTCTGTGCACTGGGCCTCTAGTTCTATATAATTAAAGGTTAATATGCAAATTGACCCTAACAGCGGAATGACTGATCACTCTGATGTACACTGACCACCGATTGCTATATGTACACAGATGCTCAATGCAGTACCTGCCCCCTGGTGGTCAGTGCACTCCCATAGGGGAGCTCTCCTCAGTCACAAGCTGGACTGACGGTTGTGAGCACAGTGGTGATGGCAGGAGCCTCTTCCGCCTCCTCGGCAACGCTAAGGATGTCTGACTGTGGCTTAGGGGAGCAGGCCTAAGCCACAAGCAGACATCCCCCAAGGGGTCCCGGACTGCCAGAGTGATGTCTGACTGCCAGTTCAGGCCCGATCACCTGGGGTACAGGCCTAAGGTGGCAGGTGGACATCCCCTGAGGGGTCCTGGACTGTGAGAGGGCACAGGCCGGGCTTATGTATCTCCCCTCACCCTCAAGTGCATGAATTTTCATGTACTGAGTCTCTAGTAAAGGGATATTATGAAATTATGGCAAATTTTTCTCAGGTGGAACCTGAGATTTCTATAGGTAGTTACTGTGCAGTGACTCTGAAGTTTCAGAGCTTAGTTTCTTTTGTACTTTTAAAATATGAGCTCTTTATATAACTTTGTCCTTGGGATTATTCTTAAGAGAATGAACTGTAGAGCCCTAGCCAGTTTGACTCAATGGTTAATGTTGGCCTGTGGACTAAAGAGTCCTATCAAGGGTACATACCAGGCTCTTTCCCTGGCTTTGGTCAATCCCCGGCCTTGGACTTGAATTCTCTCCCTCCCTCCCTCCCTCCCTCCCTCCCTCCCTCCTTCCCTCCCTCCCGATCCTTCCCTCCCTTTCTCTCTCCCTCCCTCCCTCTCTTTCTCCCTCCCTTCCTCTCTCTCTCTCTCTCTCTTTCCCTCCTTTCCTTCTTCCCTCCCTCCCTACTTCCCTCCCTCCCTCCCTTTATACTTTTTCTAAAGATCAAAGGGAAAATATCCTTGGGTATTAAAAAAAATAATAATAAAAATAAGCATAATCATAAAAGAATGAACTATATATAAAATGCTTTAAGATTTTTCCTTCTGCCCTTAAATACTAAGTCCTGAATGTACAAATGGAAATTAAGTTATTGAATTCTGTGTAGTAAATATACAACTATACAATTCATACTAGTTGCCATGTCATGTTCCTCTGTGCCAGATATTCTTGCTTTTTACCTTTTTAGCTGCTGTGTTAAAATATGAAAACAATGTCATGAATATCAGGCAGTTTAACTGTTCTCCACACCCCTACTGGCTTCCAAACTTTATGGATGTTTTCACGTGGTCTTTGCCTTTTGTTGGAGAGAAAGGTAAGAGAACTAAAGCATCTGGCCCATCAGTTATCTTAGCATACTTTTATATTTGCATGAGCCCCCTGATGATTCAGAAATGTTTTTTAAAGTTATCAAAATATTTTCTAATTTTCTTTGTTTTTTAATAAAGATTTTAAAATGACATGTGATTAGTTTTTAAATTACAATTCTAGTTGATTTATGCTTTTCTTATTATACAAATCCACTTAATGTAGCTGTGCTACTGTGATCAAGATATTAAAATAACATGTCATTATACTATTCCTTCAGTGATTTATTCAATGATAAAAGAGATTTAAACAGGAAATATTGCCCTTAGAACTTTATTTGTGTACCTATACAAAAAAGCTTTGCAAATATAAAATAAGCCTGTTGGATATAGGCCTGGCCTGATGGCTTAACTAACTTCTTTGTAAAATGGGAGAAGTCTTTTTGTGTGCTTATCAGTGAAAGAGATGGCTCTGGATAGTGGTCTAATGAAATCATATAATTATGCAATAGAATCATCAAAGACTCCAGACTTTTACTGGAACAAGTAATCTCCCCAAATTGTATATAAACCAGGAGTATAATGCTACTCTGTAGCTACTCTTAATAGCCTAATGACAAGTAATTTTTATTTATGTTTAACAAGTATGTTTATCTAGATATTCACATCATTTTGGAAAAGTACTTTATTAATTACTTAGATTTGTGTTTTTTTAAATGAACTTATTGTTCTTAAAATCAGGGCTATTTTGCTTTATCTTATAGTCACAGAGATGCTGGTTAACATTCTCAACATATGCTCTGATGATGAGTTGAATTGCGAGGATGAAATTGAAGGTAATCTTGCCTTTTCCTCATTTGAACTAGAAATGAAATTTTGGTTTTGGTTTGAATTTGTTTTGAATAATTATTTTCTTATTAAAAAAGATTTGTATTCAATGTAAGAAATTGAAGAATACAGAAAGCCACAAATAAGGGGAAAAACGTCACCTGTAATTTTTTTTTTTTTTTTTTTTTTTTTTTTTACAGAGAGGAAGGGAGAGAGATAGAGAGCTACAAATGTCGATGAGAGAGAAACATCAACCAGCTGCCCTACTGGGGATGTGCCTGCAACCAATATACATGCCCTTGACCGGAATCGAACCTGGGACCTTTCAGTCCCCAGACTGACGCTCTACTGCTGAGCCAAACCGGTTTCGGCGTCACCTGTAATCTTATCATCTCATATCCACTGATAACATCTTACTGTGTTAGCTTTAATTTGTGCATATATTTTTGTCCACTTTTTCTTTACTTTTTAACAGAAATGATATCATGTGATAATATGACTTTTACTTTTTTTATAGATAATTTTTTAATGGTTACATAGTTGTCAGTGACAATTATTCTTTGTTTTAACCAATCCCCTGATGTAGGATATTGGATATTTCTTGCTTTCAATAATCTTATATTCTAGTGGAGGAAAGACAAACAATAAATATGTCAGATGTTGATCTGTGGTATGAAAGGAAATAAAGCAACATTAGGATATGAACGATAACATTTTCTCAATTTCCATAGGATAAGTTTCTAGAAATTTAATATCTGTGTCAATTAGTACTTAAAATTTTAAATCGGATACAGATAACCTCTAGAGGGGATGTACCAGTTTACATTTCCTGTGTGACACATAGTTCACAGGGTTTTCCTCAATACTATTCATTATACTTTTTATAGTCTGGTGTTTTTTTGTTTTTGTTTATTTTATTTTATTTTTATTAAATTATTTGTGTTTTTTAAATTGTAATTTGTATTTTTATGATGACTGATTAATATTTTGTGTGTGTGTGTGTGTGTGTGTGTGTGTGTGTGTGTGTGTGTTTATTGACCATGTTTATCTCTCTTTTGTGAATTGTCAGTTCATACCTTTTCCCCATTTTTCTACTGGGATATGTGAATCTTTGCTTATTTTTCTTCTTGGCCTCCAAGGGATCTTAATATAGTAACGTTTTATTGCATGTGTAGCCAAGTATTTTTTTCCTAATGTATTGTGGGAGGTTTTGTTTTGTTTGTTTGTTTGTTTGTTTATATTGATCTTAGAAATAGAGAAACATCGATGTGAAAGAGACATATCGATTGGTTGCCTCCAGTAGGCGCCCCAACAGAGGATCAAACCTGAAACTTAAATATGTGCCTTGAGTAGGAATCAAACCCACAACCTTTTGGTATGGGGATGATGCTCCAACTGAGCCACACTGGCCAGGGCATAGGGAGATTTGATTTTAAAGGTAAGGTCCTAACTTATCTGAGAATGCAGAAGATTCAGGAAGGATGGTGGCACCTGAGCACAACCTCTGACTGTCTCATTCTCTCCAAGCTCTGTGCTAAGGTGATCCAATTATTAGGATAAGCTCTGTAGAGTGGAGAAAGCCTAGCTTACTTAGAGCATACAGAAGAGAGTAGTGCACATATTTATGCTTCAGATTCCACATGGGAGGTGCAGAGCAGATAGCGCGGAGTTTGTGAGTACTTTTAAGTATGGGATAGAAGACGACTATAAGGAAACCAGTTCTTGAACAAAAAGTGCACCAACTAAAAATTAAAACAAAGCAAAATGAATATAAAGAAAACAACACCTAGGCTGCACTTCATAGTAAAAGTGCTCAGGTGAAAGAAAAAAATCTTTAGGCAGCCAGCAAAAAGATTACTTTCAAAAGAGAACAATTAAGCTGACAGTAGAAGCAGAAAACAATGTAATGACATATTCAAAGCACTGAAATAGACTAACTGGTAATTTAAGATTCTACATCAAGTAGAAATACCCTTTGAGAATGTGGAGGAGCCCTAACTGGTTTGGCTCAGTGGATAGAGTGTCAGTCTGTAGACTGGAGGACCCCAGGTTAGATTCTAGCCAAGGGTTGTGGGCTCGATCCCCAGTAGGGGGTGTGCAGGAGGCAGCTGATCAATAATTCTCTGTCATCAATGATTCTCTCTCTTTATCCTTCTCCCTTCCTCTCTAAAATCAATTTTAAAATATTAAAAAAAAAAAAAAGAATGAAGAGGAAATAAACACTTTCAGATATTCTTCCATTAAAACATTTACTATGGCCGAAATCGGTTTGGCTCAGTGAATAGAATGTCGGCCTGTAGACAGGGGTCCTGGTATGATTCTGGTCAAGGGCATGTACCTTGGTTGCAGGCACATCCCCAGTTGGGGGAGTACAGGAGGCAGCTGGTCGATGTTTCTAGCTCTCTATCCCTCTCCTTCCTCTGTGTAATAAATCAATAAAAATATTTTTAAAAAAACATTTACTATGGCCGAAACCGGTTTAGCTCAGTGGATAGAGTGTCAGTTTGTGGACTGAAGGGTCCCAGGTTCGATTCCGGTCAAGGGCATGTACATTGGTTGCGGGCACATCCCCAGTAGGAGGTGTGCAGGAGGCAGCTGGTCGATGTTTCTCTCTCATCGATGTTTCTAGCTTTCTATCCCTCTCCGTTCCTCTCTGTAAAAAAATCAATAAAATATATTTTTTTAAAAGAATAAGTTTTTACCAATAAATTTTAAAACTTAGATGAAATAGAAAAAATTCCTAGAAAAGTAAACTTACCCAAATTAAAACAATATAGGAAATTATAATAATCACATGCCTACCAAGAAATAGTCTGTAATGACAAATTTTTCTATGAAGAAACTGCCAAGTGCAGAAAACTTCAACACATTTACCAAATATTTAAGAAAGAATGAACACAAATCTTAACAAGAAATTATCTCCCTCCCTCCCTCCCTCCCTCCCTCTTCCTTCCTCTCTGAAAACAATAAAAAATATATTAAAACAAAAAACAAACAAAAACTATAACAAACATCATCATATGGTGAAGTGTTGAAAGCTTTCCTTAGTGTTTGGAATCAGACAAAGGGTCCAGCTGGCAATACTTCTATGCCATATCATATTAGAAGTCGTAATACAGGAAGGCAAGAAAAAGAAATACAAGATATAAAGATTGGAAAGGAAGAAATAAAACTCATTATTGATATGATTGTGTACAGAGAATTAAGAGAGTTTATAGATTATTAGAATCAATAAGTGCAGGTAGTAAAGCTGCTGGACAAAAATCAGTAAAATCATTTGTATTCCTATTTATCAGCAATGAACAGAATGAAAAATTTTTAATATGCTATTTACAATAAATTTAACAAATGCTATGTGATACCTAAGCAACAAATATAAGATATTGTTAAAGAAATTGAAAGAGATCTAAATAAGAAATACTATAATATATTCATAGATTATTAGATGATTCAGTATTAGAAAGATATAAATTATTCCCAAATTGATATGTGGATTCATAGTCAAATATTAACAATTTTATTCTAAATTTCATATGGAAATGCTAAATGTTAGATTCTAAAGTTCTTATGGAAATAGCTTAAATATTGAAGAAGGTTAAGGTAAGAGAATTTGTTCTTTATGACTTGAAGCTTTACTATAAAGCTAGAGTAATTGGAATTATTAGTGCAAGGACAGACAAGCACTAAAACAGACTTGAGAATCCAGAAATAGATCCACACATATATGGACACTTGATTTACATCAGACGTGGCACTGCGGAGTAGTAGGGGAATGATAGTATTTTTCATAGATTGTTTGAGGATATTTATTTGAATAAAAATTAAACCTGACCCCTGTTATATTACAGGCACAAAAGTAAATTCCAGGTGGATCAATACATTTAATATGAAAGGCAAAACAATAAATTTTCTTTTTTTAATATATTTTATTAATTTTTTACAGAGAGAAGAGAGAGGGATAGAGAGTTAGAAACATCGATGAGAGAGAAACATGGACCAACTGCCTCTTGCACACCCCGTACTGGGGATGTGCCCGCAACCAAGGTATATGCCCTTGACCGGAATCGAACCCGGGACCCTTCAGTCCACAGGCCGACGCTCTATCCACTGAGCCAAACCGGTCTCGGCAATTTTCTAGTATTTATATTATAGAATATCTTCATGATCTTGGATTAGAGGAAAATTTCTTAAACAGTATGTAAAAAGCACTAACCATACAGGAACTATTAATAACTTGGACTATGTTAAAAGTAAAGACTTGTGTTTATCAAAAAATACTGTTAAGAGTGGGAGAGGAGCCCAGGCGGGGTAGCTCAGTGGTTGAGCATCTACCTATGAATCAGGAAGTCATGGTTCGATTCCGGTCAGGGAACATGCCCAGGTTTTGAGTTTGATCCCCAGGGTGGGGGTAGGAGGAAAGTGTAGGAGTTAGCTGATTAGTGATTTTTCTCTCATCATTGATGTTTTCATCTCTCTCTTTCTCTCACTTTCTGTCTCTGAAATTTAAAAAAAGTAATTTTTGAAAAAATATTGGGAGAGGATATTTGCAGTGCAACCAAGAAAGGACTTGACAAAATATATACTGAACTATATAGAAATCAGTAAGATGAGATTTGAACAAGCACTTCACAAAAGAGGATATTCAGATGTCCAGAAAAATATGAAAAGATATTCAACCACATTGGTAATTGTGAAAATGCAAATTAAAACAATGGATTATTTTAGATATCTACCAGATTGTCTCTAAAATTACCAAATGTTGGCCAAGTTGTGAAGTAGCAGGAATGTCAGACCCTGAAGTTTAAATTGGTACATCCACTTTAGTAGATAATGCCAAACTGTTATCCAAAGTTGAACATACATGTACTCTATAACTGAACATTTTCATTTTAGAAATATACTTAACACAAATACATGCAGTGAAGAGCAGTACATAGGAATAGGTACAGAAGCCTAATTCAGAATAGCAAAAGATTAGAATAAGCCAAATGACCACTGACAGTAAAAAGGGAAAATAAGCCCTAAGCGGTTTGGCTCAGTGGATAGAGTTTTTGCCTGTGGATTGAAGGGTCCCAGATTCGATTCCAGTCAAGGGCATGTACCTTAGTTACAGGCTCATCCCCAGTAGCAGGGGGTGTTGCAGGAGGCAGCTGATCCATGTTTTTAACTCTTTATCCCTCTCCCTTCCTCTCTGTAAAAAATCAATAACATACATTTTTTTTTTTTAAAAAGGAGAAATAAGTTGGGCCATATTTATGTAGTGGAATTATATGCAGTAATGACATTGAACTACAGCAACAGGAAAAACGCAGGTGAATCTTTCTATGTTGAACAAAAGAAGCTGGACAGAAATGCATATTTGATTGTTCCAATTACATAAAGTTAACGAAAACTGGTGCTTATGTATGCATGCTTACATGGTAAAACTATACATAAAAGTAAGAAGATAATTTCAGTAAAATTCAAGAGAATGATTTTTGGGGAGAAGACAGAGACTATGATTATTAGGAAGGACTCAAGGGGAACATCTAGGGTGCTGGCAAGGTTCTTTTTATTGACCTGAGTGGTAATTATATGGGCATTTGCTTTTTAAGAAATCACTGGGTTACATGGTTGTGTACTTTTCTATATGTTTATCATACTTCACAATAAGAAAGGTTAAGAAAGTACCTGGTTAGAGTGGCTCAGTTGCTTGAGCATCGTCCTGTACACCGAAAGTTTGCTGCCGGTTCAATTCCCAGTCAGGGCATATATAGAAGACAGCTAATAGATATCTCTCTCTCTCTCTCTCCCCCCTCCCCCCACCCCCGGTCTCTGGTTGAGGATTTTTTTTTAAAGTTAAGAAACTTATAAACCTACAAACCCAAATATTTTTCTAGCACTTTCTGAAGCTAGAAAATGAATTATTATTAATTGACTTTGCTGATTCATGAAAGCTCAAGTTGAACTTACTAATGGGAAATGCTGAGCTGCAGCACAGAATCCTCAAAAAGCAAAGGAATTGGTAGCACCAGTTGAAAGAATTGGGGACTGTGGGTTGGATGGGAGAAGGGAGCTGGGCACTGAGCCTAAATAAGGAGACTGGATGAAAGCTTTTGGAAAGGCAGTTCAAGTCCTGGTTGCTAGCAAGCAAGTGCCTCTTCTCCAAGTCTGGAGGCTAACCTCTAAAAGGCAAACCAGACAGTTTCTGGAGGGAGATATCATGCAATTGAGTGATCAGTATCTTACCAAAGGAATTGAAAGAACGGACTGTACGCAAGCACACTCAATACTGGGAGAGAGAATTCTCTAAAATAGGCCCAATCTGATCACTCTGTCTAAAGCTTCAAGTCAACAGTCCACCCACCAACTCTGAAAGCTCTTGAGTCCCTCAGTCTTAATCATGAGCAAACACAAAGGATTGCCAGACGCTCAGAAAGGTCTCTAAAGACAACAGCAAAAAGCAATTTGAATGAACTTGAGATTCTGAAGAAAATATAAAACTTAAAAAAGGAAAAACTGTAATATCTCTAGAAAGATATGGGAATATATTGAATCCATTAAAAAGTTGTAATTCTCTTATTAAGAGGTTTGTAAGCTGTTTGTTCTGTCCTTTGTTTTTGTTTCTTGTTTTCATTGTCATTTGGTCTATAAAAAATCTCTCTTTTTTTTTGGTCTAATTTTATTTTCATGATCTCTGGGGATAAAACATGTTGGATAATAATAGATGTTTTGAATTAATGTAAAACCATGAACTTTTAAGAAGTGGAAAATGACTGACAAGAAATCCATAATTGAACATTCTGTCAGGATGCTGGGGGTTTCTTTTCTGAGCTGATAAAGATAACAGCCTGCTTCTCCCATTGCATTTCACTTTGATTTTTTTCTCTCTTCCATGTAAAATTAAATGCTCTTCCCATATACCTATCTTCATCTCCTTGTTTCTTGGTGTCTCTTCTCCCTGAAGATCACTACATTTCAAGCTATCAGAAAGGTATCATACTAAAATGTGTTAAGAGTTTAATATTTACTGTCTGTCCCACTAAAAAGTCTCTTCGATTTTTTTAGATGTAGTTGAACTCCTTCAGAGAGAGTCTTCATTCTCCCTTTCTGTTTTGATGTGTATGTTTTCTGTGGACCTGCTGTATGATCCTGCAGGATGTTGAGAGCTGGGGGATATTTTTTTTTGAGGGGGAAGAGCCCATGAGGAGGGCGCGGCCACATTTCTTTTTCTGACTGTTGAGTGTTGTCACATGATGCATGCTGGACCTTGGTTTCTTATGTGTGAGCTGTTTTCTGAATCTTAGACCAGAAAAGGCCATTAAATCATGCATTAACTTTTGTGATGTTGTTTATAAAAAACCTCAACCATGATTTTACTGCGCAGTTGTCAATGGTAGGAAATTCTCGCCAGTTTGAAAGTGACAATTATAGAGTGAAATTAGCCCTCACTAAGTTCTGGAGAGCGCCTGAGTGCTGTGTTTACGTGCTCAAATCATCACTTGCCATTCGCAGGCCAAACCCTGCGTCCTAAGGTGGCCACAGCATTCTCAAAAGAGATCTTTGCTGTAGCAACTGTCTTGTTTATATGTGTGTGTACACTCTTCTCTGTGTTCTACATTTCAGAACCACAAACAAGTTCCTACCTCTCATAGATGTGCCCTTGTGGCCCCCTTCATTTTTTACTTCCTCTTTTTCTCTTGTGGTTTTTTTTGTTGTTGTTGTTTGTTTGTTTTTTCTTGCTCCTCCGAACTTCCTGGGATTTTTATTTAAACAAACTTGAGCCTTGATTTTTTAAAAAATATATTTTATTGATTTTTTTACAGAGAGGAAGGGAGAGAGATAGAGAGCTAGAAACGTCAATGAGAGAGAAACATCGACCAGCTGCCTCCTGCACACCCCCCAACCGGGAATGTGTCCGCAACCAAGGTACATGCCTTTGACCGGAATCGAACCTGGAACCTTTCAGTCCACAGACCGACGCTCTACCACTGAGCCAAACCGGTTTCGGCTGATTTTTTTTTTAATGACAGTTTCTTTTAACTTAGAAAATGCTTCCGCCTGTATTTTTTAAACTTAATATGTTAACACACTCCTTTAATTCACGAATTCTTTGTATTTTCAAAGGCATCACTGCAGTTCGAAAGGAGATCATCAAGAATAAAATCAGAGCCATTGGGAAGATGGCACGAGTCTTTGCAGTTCTTCGGTAAGGATGTCTGTCGTGAAAGTGTGGGAATAAAAGCATTTTGAGAGTACATTAGAAGCTGGTTTCAGAACAGAAGTTTTAGAATTAGAATTTGGTATTAGAACTGTAAGTCAAGTGCAGATTAGAATCAAATCTATATGTTAGGATGGCTAGCAATGTTCTGGTAAACATTCACTTGGTATGAATTCAAATGTAGTGGTTTAGTGTGGATTCTGGAGCCAGGTTACTTATGAATACATCCTGGCTCTACCTCTTCTTAGCTGTGTGATCTTACGCCTCATTTTTCTTGTCTATAAAAAAGTGAGTAAAAACAAAACCTGCTTTATATGGTTATTAAGAGGATTAAATGAGATAATATAAGGGAAGCATTAGAATAGCACCTGGTTATGGAGTGTCCTTAATTGAAAAGCAAGACCTGGCAGATTCTTTAGAATTGGAATATTTGGAGAAAACATCCCTTTCTTTGGTTCAGGGAAGGGGAAGGGAGGAGAACCTGTTCTCCATCCCTGTACGTCGTAACTTCCTCTAAGTACCTTTGAATTGCTGAGTGTGGACACCTGGCATTAACCAGGGCTTTGCTCTTCCTTGGCAGGGAAGAAAGTGAGAGTGTGCTGACTCTCAAGGGCCTGACTCCTACAGGGACACTCCCTGTGGGTGTCCTCTCAGGGGGAAAGCAGACTATTGAGACAGGTGAGTATGAGGAATGCTCCTTCCAAGGAAGGGGTGCTCCTGTGACCTAGCAGTCAGTTAAAATGAAAAATTGGGGTTCCCTGAGTAAAAATATGAAATCTTGCCATTTGTGACAACATGGGTGAAGCTGGAGGGTATTATGCCAAGTAAAATAAGTCAGACTGAGAAAGACAAACACCATATAATTTCATTTATGTGTGGAATATTTTTAAAAATTAACGAACTAAACAAACAGACTCAAAAATGCAGAGAACAAACTGATGGTTATCAGTGGGAAGGGGGAGAAGAGGGGCACAAAGGTGAAGGGGGAGAAAGGTACAAATTTTTAATTCTAAAATAAATAGGTCATGAGGATGCAATGTACAACACACGGAATATAACCAATAATATTGTAATAACTATGTATGGTGACAGGTGGTTATTAGACTTACCATGGTGATCACTTCATAAAGTATATAAATGTAGAATCACTATTTTGTACACCTGAAACTAATATATGATTAAATGTCAACTATAGTTAAAAAATAAAATATTTTTTTTAATTGGGACTTCTTTCAATAAATGTTATTGGAACAACTGGATGTTCTACTGGGGAAAATTCATCTTGACCCTTCTCTTCATATAGAAAAAATCAATTCAAAATGAATTACAACTTAGATGTAAAAGATAAAGTCAGTAAAATTACTCTAAAAGAAAGAATGGAGAATAGGCATTGAGGCAGATAAAGAGTCCTTAAATAGAATGGAAAAAGTACTAACCTTAAAAGAAAAAATAATTAAATTTTGTTAAAACTAATGACTCAGTGGATAGAGCATCAGCCTGTGAACTGAAAGGTCCCAGGTTCGATTCCTGTCAAGGGCATGTACCTTGGTTGTGGGCACATCCCCAGTAATGATATTTCTCTTTCATTGATGTTTCTAACTCTCTCTCTCTCTCCCTTTCTCTCTGTAAAAAATCAATTTTATATATATATATATATATATATATATATATATATATATATTTTTTTTTTTTTAAGAATTTCTATTCACAAAAAATGCATGATTAAGAAAGGGAAAAGGCAAAACATACATTGGGACATTTTTGCGATAGTCTGACAAAGGACTTATATTCAGAATATAGTACATAACTATAACTCAATAAGAAAAATGCAACCAATGTTTTTAAAACGGTCCAAAGAGCCGAAACCGGTTTTGCTCAGTGGATAGAGTGTCAGCCTGCAGACCTAAAGGTCCCAGGTTCAATTCTGGTTAAGGGCATGTACTGGGTTGCAGGCACATTCCCAGTAGAGGGTGTGCAAGAGGCAGCTGATTGATGTTTCTCTCTCATCAATGTTTCTAGCTCTCTATCCCTCTCTCTTTCTCTCTGTAAAAAAATCAATAAAATATATTTTTAAAAATATATAAAATAAAATGGTCCAAAGAGTTTAACTGGCACGTCACAGAAGAGTGTATCAAAATGAAAAAGTCTGACAAGCGCTCGCTTTGGCAGCACTTAAACTAAAATTGAAACAGAGAAAATTAGCATGCCCCTGCACAAGAATGATACACAAATTTGTGAAACATAAAACAACAACAACTGACGATACTAAGTGTTGGTAAGTTTGTGGAAAACTAGAAACTAGATACATTACTGGCCAGCTTGTTCAACCACTCCGGAAAACTTTACGGGGCAGTAAAGCAAAACATGTCCACCTCATAACCCAGCAGTTTGTATTTATCAAAGAGAAATCAGTGCATATATCCACCAAAGGTTGTGCATTAGAATGCCCACATTAGCTTTATTGTAATAGCCCCAAATGGGAAACAACCCACGTGTCCATCAATAAAGAGTAGAATAGATAAATGTGTCATATGTATACAATGGGTATAAAAATAGCAATAAATAAAAAATAGCATTACAAATACATGCCAAACATTGTTAAATCTCATAGACATTATGGTGAACTGAAAAAACTAGACCCAAAAAGACATCAACTGTCTGATTTATATGATATTCAGGACCAGACATACTAATCAGTGATAATAGAAGTCAGAGGGCATTTCCTTTAGAGGGAGAATATTGGCCCAGTAGGGACTTCTGGAGTAGTAGGAATGTTCTATATCGCTCTCTGGGTGGTAATTGCCTACAAGTCATATCCTACTCCAGTGCCACAGTCACCTCTCCAACCAGAGCGTCCCTTCTAAATATTACACGGGCCGAAACCGGTTTGGCTTAGTGGTAGAGCGTCGGTCTGTGGACTGAAAGGTCCCAGGTTCGATTCCCGTCAGGAACATGTACTTTGGTTGCGGGCACATCCCCGGTAGGGGGTGTGCAGGAGGCAGCTGGTCGATGTTTCTCTCTCATCAACGTTTCTAGCTCTCTAGCTCCCTCCCTTCCTCTCTGTAAAAAATCAATAAAATATATTTTAAAAATTAAAAAAATAAAAATTACATGGGCATTGACTTCTAAGGAGAGGGCTTTATGGAATAAAAAGATTCACGTTTGGCCGGGACCGGTTTGGCTCAGTGGATAGAGCGTCGGCCTGCGGACTGAAAGGTCCCAGGTTCGATTCCAGGCAAGGGCATGTACCTTGGTTGCGGGTACATCCCCAGTAGGGGGTGTGCAAGAGGCAGCTGATCGATGATTCTCTCTCATCGATGTTTCTAACTCTCTATCCCTCTCTCTTCCTCTCTGTGAAAAATCAATAAAATATATTTTTAAAAAAAAGATTCACGTTTGGCAGATTAACATAGATCTGGTCAAGCAATGGGAAGAAACATGAGATCATATTATTGGATGACTAATTCTGGGCATGAAAAGTGGAGTTGAAGCTTTAACAAGTCAAACGAGTTTCATTGCCTTTTTGTTCTGTTCCTCCCCCCCCACCTCCTATGGTTGCATTGAATTGTTTCTGCTTAAGTTTTTCTCTTTTCTTTGTCATCTGCCATTTAGAGGAAGTCTCAGTTCCACAGGTTCATTGGCAAACTCTGGAGCATTAGCTGAATAAGACCTTTTTTTCCATATAACTTTACTTGGAGAGCTTTCAATCAACAATAGTCCATATGACCTTATAACATATACTCATTTAGGTCCCACCTTGTTCCAAGAGGGACTGGAGTAAATTACAGTATACAAGTGAAATAAAATAAATATACTTGGAAATTGGAGCACAAAACAAACAAAAAAGCCACTAGACAGCCACAGATGTGATCTAAGCTTTTTAGTAGCCAAAATAAAGAGGAAAGCTAGTGAATGAATAAGATTCACAAAGACAGCCGAAACCAGTTTGGCTGAGTGGTTAGAGCGTCAGCCTGTGGACTGAGGGGTCCCGGGTTTGATTCCAGTCAAGGGTATATACCTTGGCTGTGGGCACATCCCTAGTAGGGTGTGTGCAGAAGGCAGCTGATTGATGTTTCTCACTCTCTTTCCCTTCCTCTCTGTAAAAAAAAAAAATCAATAAAAAATATATTTTTTTAATTTATTTTTATTTTTTAAGAGGTAGATTTTATTTTATTTTTTTAATATATTTTATTGATTTTACATAGAGAGGAATTGAGAGGGATAGAGAGTTAGAAAGGTCGATGAGAGAGAAACATCAACCAGCTGCCTCTTGCACACCCCCTACTGGGGATGTGCCCGCAACCAAAGTACATGCCCTTGACTGGAATCGAACTCGGGACCTTTCAATCCGCAGGCCAACGCTCTATCCACTGAGCCAAACCAGTTTCGGGGGGGGGGGGGGGGGAATATATATATATATATATATATATATATATATATATATATATATATTTTAAGATTCACAAAGACAATAAGATAAAAAACATAGGTTATAGTGATGATTGCACAACTCTATTAAAATCATTGAACTGCACACTTTAAACAAGTCAATTTTATGGTATACTAGAGGCCCAGTGCATGAAATTTGTGCACTCAGAGGTGGGGTCTCCCAGCCTGGCCTGCGCCCTCTTGCAGTCTGGGAGCCCTTGGGGGATGTCCAACTGATGGCTTAGGCCCGCTCTCTGCAAGGAGAGTGGGTCCATGCCGGCAGTCAGACATCCTTAGAGCTGCTGTGGAGGTGGAAGAGGCTCTCACCACTGCTGCTGGGCTCGCCAGCTGTGAGCCCAGCTTCTGGTGCACTGACCACCAGGGAGCAGCTGCTGCATTGAGTGTCTGCCCCTGGTGGTCAGTGCATCATAGTGAACAATTGTTCCATTGTTTGGTCAATTTGCATATTAGGGTTTTTATTATATAGTATAAATTCTACTTCACTGAAGAAAAAAGGTCCGTTTCTCAGTTTTATATGACTCTTTCTTAAAATGCTCTTCAATACAGGCTGATATCTTTTTTAAAATAAATATTTTATTGACTTCGGAGAGGAAGGGAGAAGGAGAGAGAGATAGAAACATCAATGATGAGAGAGAATCATTGATTAGCTGCCTCCTGCACACTGCTTACTGGGGATCCAGCCTGAGACCTGAGTATGTGCCCTTGACCAGAATCAAACCTGGAAACCCTTTAGTCTGCAGGCTAATGCTCTATCCACTGAACCAAACAAGCTACAGCCAGGCCGAGATCTTAATACTCAATGCAATACTCAAGGGCCCTAAACAATGTAATACTAGTACATATTTTGCCACATAGCTTTTAAACTCTAATTAGGCCAACACTTGGTATATAATACAATTTCAGGCAATGCTTTGTTCTCTCTCTTCCTCACACTTGGGCTCGATATACTGTTTGAAGGCACTATGGTCTTCTTGAGAAAGTTTATTTGTTCTATTTAAGGAGATTAGAGGATGTGACTTTGCTTTAGCACATGCCTACATATGGTTGACAAATGTAAGTACTTGATAAGTTGATTCCAAGTTTCCATTTTCACATTGCGTTAGGAAGTTAACTTTCCATTCTCCCATTTCTCCTGTCTTGTGGATGTATAAAGCCTAAGGCAGGGCAAGCTGTTACTGTTCATTATTCTTCTCTGCCTTCTTTTAAAAGTTGGGATTGGAGGAACTGACAGGGTTCTCTTACTAGGGTCGTTCTTGCTACTAAAACCTATAACCTTTTCATATTTTAGGGCTTTTACTGTCTTAACAGAAGATGCAATGAAGTTTACCTATTGTTACTAATGGTTTCCTTTTCTCTCACTGAGGGAGCAGAGGGCCTTGTTAGTAATTGAGCTGCTCTCTCACACAGAGAATGGGAGTCACACTATTGGAAATATCAGCCTCTGTTATATCTCCAGTCCCAGATGGTATATGAATTGTATCCAGAATTGAATGGTTTTATGCCATTGCCAGCTTAATACTCCACACCTGGACAAAAAAATAACACTTCACTTATAACCCATTTTTCTCCTTCCAAATGCCAATATATTATTCAAAGGTCTGTTGTTGTTGTTGTTGTTGTTAAGTAATATAAAATGACAATTGGACTCCACATAAATTGCTTGAGAACAATAAGTAGTAATTTAGTGCTTTTTTAAATAGGACCCAGCAGCAGCTCATTTAATACCATCTGAACTATTACAAGCCCAAGAATGGTTGCAATGTTAAATTATTTGACTCTATGTGAATAGCATCTGGCTACTTAAAATCAGGAAAACGCCCTAGCCAATTTGGACTGAAAAGTCCTGGGTTTGATTCCAGTCAAGGACACATACCTCAGTTGCAGGCTCAATTCCATGTCCTGGTCAGAGCAAGTGCAAGAGACAACCAATCCATGTGTCTCTCACATGAATGTTTCTCTGCCTCTCTCCCTCCCTTCCACTCTTTCTAAAAGTCAGTGGCAAAGTATCCTCAGGTGAGAATTAACAACAAAAAAGTAAATAAACAAATAAAAAAGTAAAAAGTAGGAAAAAAAAATCAGGAAAGCAGCATAACTCTTGGTTTCTGTAGTCAGCTTGACTGACCCAATGGGTTTAGTTGTAGATGCCATTAGCTAAAAGGTTCTCATGTTACCTAAAATGTTAGAAACTCTCCTTACATCACGTTTCCCCTGCCCCCAATTTAGTTTTTCACAATAATCCCCTTGCTTCTCCAACTAGTTGACTTTTATTATGGGTGGGAATAGGCTAAAAGGTGGGACCCTAGGATGTCTGCTGGTAGCATTGCTGGTGGTTTACTCACTTGTTTTCTGTCTTCATTTTTGCATGCCCCTGCTCCTGCCTCTTACAGCCACAGTAGAAGCGGTAGAGGCCCAGGAAGGTATGGCCATATTCCTGTGATAGATGTGATCGTGTGTCTGTCTGTTGGTTTTTAAAAGTTTTGTCTACATTTGGAATCTTGTATTATGGCATCACCAGAACTGTAACCGTGAGAAAAGGAATAAGTATTTCTAGGCATGCTCACAAAGTGTTACAAATGACCCTCTCCACAGCTAAAGTCCTTTTTGGGCTGTTTTAATACAATGGCTGAAGCATAAGCAACTGGTCAAGTGGGATCAAGTGAGTTAATTCTCTAGCTCTTCCATATACAGTATAAGTGATTACTAGAGATTTAAACAGATCAACGTCTTTATCCAATGATATCAAGAGCAGAGGCAAGAGTAGACAGGAAGTTAATTTGGTTAATTTTTGAGGTTGCCTAAGGCAGTCAAGCTAAATTATCTGTTTCTATGAAAGCAAACTTGAAGTAACTAATAATCTGCAAATCTGTGGATGAAAACCATTGTAATTCATATTGTTTTATAAATTTGTTTTATTAGGTAAGGTGATTCAAAATGGGAATGGTTTCCTTGACAGTGCAAAAGTTCAATCAAAGAAAATATCTAGAAGCTATTGTTTAGATGGCTTTTCATTTATGTTCAGCTCCTGGTTGTGCAAGATAAAAAGCTGTCTTTATAAACAAAAAAACTGGTTCTTTTACTTTTTTTCTGTGGTCAGTGTGATGTTTGTGCTAAAGTAACTGCTCTGTTTAACCTGTTCTGTTATCCTAGCGTTTTCTTTCTCTCCCATTGAGCACGTTTCTGATGCATAAGAAACTCTTTCCCAAATGTACTGGGACTAAGGAGGAACTTGTTTCCTTTTTTGTCAGGTATACTTCTGCTATGTCTAATTGTGTTGAATTCCTATGAAAATTACTTTCACAGTTCAGCTGCCCTGGGGGGTCTTAAGAATTGGTAGCTTCGCCCTAACTGGTTTGACTCAGTGGATAGAGCGTCAGCCTGCGAATTCAAGGGCCCCAGGTTTGATTCCGGTCAAGGGCATGTACTTTGGTTGTGGGCACATCTCCAGTGGGGAGAGTGCAGGAGGCAGCTGATCAATGTTTCTTTCTCTCATCAATGTTTCTAACTATCCCTCTCCCTTCCTCTCTGTAAAAATAAATAAATAAATAAATAATCACTAAAATATATATTTTAAAAATAAACGAATTGGTAGCTTCAAGTCAAAGCTAATTCAAATCAAATAGTGCCTATTATCCTCACCAGCCATGTGCTCCCTGGCCACTCTTCTGTGTTTTTCTCTAGGAGACTGCTGTGTGCTAAGAAACTTGAAGCTTGTCGCTTTGCTGTCTAATTGAGCTCCTCCCTTTCCTGTTTTTCTGTAGCCATCAAAGGGTTATCCCGTCAGCACAGGATCCGGAGTTTTGAAGAAGCCCGAGGTCTGGACCTAATTAATGAGCGGATGCCACCTCGAAAAGATAGCCACGCGACTTTGGGACCCAGACAATCAGTTGCTTCGAACAGGAGCGAGAAGGGGAAAAAAGCCAGCAATACCTCAGAGCCCTCCTATGACAAAGGTGGACCTAAAACTTAAGAGCAGATTGTATTTATTTATTTATTATTGGAAAACAAAACAAAGCAACTTAAATCTGGAGGTGCATTCATAATATACTCTCTGCATTTATTCTGTAAGAAAGGTGACCATTTTATAAATTCTTCTAACTTATGTCTAACATAAATATAAGCAGTGCATCTGTTTTGTTTTCCCTTTTCTTCTTAATTTTTAGGAAATGATCTGACTGATACATGTGTGAGGTTTTGTACTTTCCGGGGCGCCTTCTCCTAATAAAAGGGCCTTGGAAACCTCCACCCAGGGTTTCTGGCTTGAACCAGCCAAACTTCCTCTTGTTCTTTAGAATGTAATGTCTTTCATGCAGACGAGTAATTTTTCAAACACAAGAAGGTTTTTTTTCCTTTCTACATGGTGCCACTGAAGAAGATCTCTTAGATTTCAGTGGCTTAAACTTCTCTTCTTATGGAAAACTTGATTATAGTAGAATTTGTAAGTGAATAACCCAAACCTAGTGATTTTAAGAGCCAAGGGGAATGTTTTCCATAACCCATTTTCTTCTGGACTCTCAATTCCTTGTACTATGTTCTGGTAAGGCAGAATAAAAGGTAATGAGGGGTTTTCTTGGAATTAATTAAAATTTCATGTAGCTCTGGGCATGGCTGGTTTAAACTTCCCTTAAAACGTTGAAGGTTTTTTAAATGTTGCCAGATTCTTTGGCTTTCGTTTTTGGACCCCAGGTGATTTACTCTGTCTACAAAGGAAGCTACATGTCTAAATATTTTATAAATATCCTCTGTACAACCTTCAGTATAAGCACTCATGCCCTTCCTTCTCTGTATTGCATCAGCGATTACAGCATCTATTCTTCCATCGTCCTTTTTTCTGTATCAGCATTTTTTTTAATCAACTGAAAACAGACTAGGGTAGAATGATCCCTTATGAATCGGAAGTCTTGCTAAAGGGCATTGGATGAGTGAGGAATTTCGTATCTTCTATATCAATTACAGGGTGTTTATCTTTCAACACTCATCAGGTTGAACTGTCTGTCAGCATGTTGTGAAATATGAAGACAAGTGTTCAGATATAATGTTTGAATAATCTTCCCTTGATTTCTCAAGTCACAACCAACTAGGGAAGAAAACCTCGGGGGTTCTTGGGCTCCCATTTTTGGTTTTACCTGGTGACAGGTGCTATGTCATAATACTCATTGGACAGCTTTGCAGTAAGGGTGCATATCTGGACAACACTACACCAAAGTGCATATTCATGGAGTTCCTTACTGTCACGTGGGTATAGGCACCCAGCACAAGAGCACGTATCTCAGGCAGTGATACCTTATGTTGGGAACTTCAAGGACAACAGAAACTTTATCCAAAAAAAACAAAATTTCATTAGAAATATCTCTGTTTTCTATATCTTTTGCTGACAGTTCCCAGTCTGTTTATGACAAAGATCAGAGCATTGAAGGGATTGTCATTTGATGGCATGAATTAGTCTACTTAAACAAATAGGAAGGATCCCCAGCTAGTGTTGCTCAGTGGTTGGAGCATCAGCCCATACACTGAAAGGTCACAAGTTGTTTCCTGTCAGGACACACCTAGGTTTCAGGTTCTGTCCAAGGGGTGAGGGGGGGCGAGCGAAGAGGAACCAATTGATGTTTCTCTTCTCCCTCTTCCTCTCTCTCTGAAATCAATTAAAAGAAAGGCATGTCCTCTGGGGAAGATTAAAAAAATGTATTTAAAAAGAAAAGATAAGAAGAATATTGGGGACAGAGATGAAAGATCTCCTACTCGATTGCAATAAAAACTGTGCAAGAACAGAGAAACAATCTTTACTGATTGCCATTTCCTTAACAAATGGAATTCATCACCTGGGTGTCCTCAGACTCTTCTCTCAGTCCCAGTACAGAAAAGACCACTGTTGTGGAAGTCTCACCTAAAGTGGAAGTCCGTCCACGTGACACATTTGATAGATGGGGGTCCCTTATCCCTTTCGCCTTTTCACTGAGGTGGTGGTTTTACATACACAACCCACAGGTAGAAATCACTCCATGGGCTTCAATCACAGGCAAGTAGTGGAATAGTTATTATACATCCATATAAGTAAGAAATAATATTTTGCTAGTAAAAAGGATGGTTATTTAGGACTGTCTTTATTATCTTCTCAAAAAGAAGCAGTGCGATCAAGCAAGTTTCCTTGACAGAGGCATGGCCAAAGGATGTACCTTACAGGTGCTCTTTGTGCTGTTGAAGGATCCACCACAGTAGAGAGGTGAGAAGTCATCATTCAAGAAAATGGAGTTTAAAATACAACAACAGCTCTTGAAGGAAGTTAGGTCTGAAAATCCTGTTGGGTTCTAAAGGAAAAGGTATATCTGATATTCTGTGCAAAGCTGGGGTGTGTGTTTCAATAGTTTAAAAAGCTGTGTGTGAAGTCTGTAAGGCCCAGATAGCTTCTTAAAGTGACACTGTCACTTAGTGTACCTTCATAGGCTGGCACCTCTGACTGAAGACAGGTTAGAAGGCATGAACCTTAAGAATGTATTGAAGCTCTGGGAGGCGGTGGGCTCAGTTGGTTAGAGCATCGTCCAAATAGGCCAGGGTTGTGGATTCGATCCCCAGAAAAACTGTATAGCCCAGCCAGTGTGGATCTATGGATTGAGCCTTGTCCCATGCACCAAGAGGTCACCAGTTCCATTCCTGGTCAGGGTACGTACAAGAATCAACCAATGAATGCATAAATGGGTAGAACAATAATTTGATGTTTCTGTCTTTCTCAAATCAATAAATAATTTTTTTAAAAAAAGAATATATTGTAATCACAGTACTCGTTCTTCATTCCATATTCATTGGAGGGTATTAGCATATTTTTAGACATCCTATCTAGTAAAAGGGTAATATGCAAATTAACCGTCATTCTGCCACAAAGATGGCAGCACCCATAGTCACAAGATGGTGGCGCCCAGTCCTCTCAGCCCTGCTAGAGTTCACCAGTCCCTGGAAGGAGGATTGGGGGGGGGAGGGTTGCTGAGAGTGGGCAGGGTGAGCAGCCTGGTGGAATGCTTGCTTCGTCGCCCTGATGACGAGGCAAGTGTTCCGTGCCTGGCTGCAGATGGGCCTCTGGACAAAGGGCATGAGAGCTACCGGCACAGGGATGTGCGTGCAGGGCTACTAGTTTTAATCTAAACAGCAACTCCCAAGATGGCTGATTGTCTGCCCTGAATTTGCCTTCGGACCAACCACTATCTCCCACATGTCAACGAACATTCTAACTGCTGTCAGAGGTCTGAGGATTGCTGTTTTCAAGGTCTCTTCTACTCAGTCTCTCCTCTGCATGCTCTAAAGATCCTAAAAAATACTTCATTCTTGTTCTCCTTCACTTTAAGGTCTACAGGGACCTTATTTTTTTCAACTTCTTTTATTAGTGGGAAAAACTTTGTAAACATCAGTGAAATTCCATTTTAGACAGGACGCTTCTTTTATTTTTTTTAAATCAATCTTTATTGTTCATATTATTACAAAGGCTCCTCATTTCTTCCCCCCTCCACCAGGTTCCCACCCCACCCTCTGCCCTTTCCCCATCCCCCATTGTCCTCATCCATAGGTGCACAGTTTATGTTCAGTCTCTTCCTTCCTCCCTTTCCCCAATAGTAAATCCCTTTTCAGATAGTAAATCAGTTATTTAGCATTTTCTCATATCAATAATACCTCCACATGCCCAATGATACACTTCACACAAAAGACATTTCCCAATAGGTCCACCAGCCTCATCCAGGCCCCACCCAAGGCACTCACAGATCAACACCCCAGCCCTATACTAACTCAACACATCCAGATCTAAGCCTTCATCACTTGATTCAGCAGACCCTCAAGTTCCCGCAAAAGTTTCCAGCCATGTCTGAGAGGCAGCCGTGGGGCAGGGGCAGGCGAGGAACGAGCTGTTCCGGGCCTGGCTGCTCAGGGCCTGGCCTCTGTTGCTCTGGTTCATTCCACAACCAGCTGCTCCGGGTCTGGTCATTGCCGCTCCCGACCTAGTTGCTCTGGACTTGGCTGCTGCTGCTCCGGGCCTGGCCACACCCGACCCGGCTGCTCTGGGCCTGGCTGCTCCGGGCCCGGCCGCTCCGGGCCCAGCAGCTGCTGCTCCGGGCCTGGCCGCTCCCAGCCTGGCAGCCGCTGCTCTGGGCCTGGCCGCTCCCAGCCTGGCAGCTGCTGCTCCAGGCCTGGCCACACCCGACCTGGCTGCTCCGGGCCTGGCCGCTCCCAGCCTGGCAGCCGCTGCTCCGGGCCTAGCCACTCCCAGCCTGGCAGCTGCTGCTCCGGGCCTGGCCGCACCAGACCCAGCTGTTCCGGGCCTGGCCGCTCCAAGCCTGGCAGCTGCTGCTCCGGGCATGGCTGCTGACAGGACGCTTCTTAAGGACCAGTTTCCCAATTTCATCTATAATACATCCACGTCATGTGAAATTTCAAATTGATCAGATGACTATTTTTAAAATAGATATTTTAAAAACTTGCCCTGGCTGCTGTGGTTCAGTGGTTACAAAGTCGGCCCAAGCACTGAAGAGTCATGGGTTTGATTTCCGATCAAAGACATGTCACATACCAGTATTACAGGTTCGATCCCCAGTCCCAGCCTGGGCACATGTGGGAGGCAACCAATCGGTATTTCTCTATTTCCCCCTTCCTCCTCCTCCCTTCTACTCTCTAAAAATTAATGGAGAAAATATCCGTGGGTGAGGATTAAAAAAAAAACTATTCATCTAATATCAGTTCAAAACATACATCCTTTTTAAATCTGTGCTCTGAATATTTGAAAAAAAAAAAAGAAATGTATAAGCCGTGTGTGTGTGTGTGTGTGTGTGTGTGTGTGTGTGTGAGATAGAATGCTAAAACAAAAGCAGCCTCAGCTTTCCTTAAAACGACAAGGTCACACTAGTTATGGATACCGTGGCCTTTTGTGACTAGATATTAATCAGTGAAGTAAAAATTGCTCCTCACACTCTGGTGGGCTTGACGTGGCTCCAA